TGAGTGGGGGGAGGGGCAGAGAGAGAGTCGGAGACAGAGAATCTGAAGCAGGCTCCAGGCTCCAAGATGTCAGCACAGAGCCTGAAGCTGGGCTCAAACTCACAAACCGGGAGATCATGACCTGAGCCAAAGTCGGACACTTAACCAACTGAGCCACCCAGGCACCCCAAATTATTCCATTTTAAATCATCCTCTCTGATTTCCCAGCCTGTTTGCCACCAGCCGTTTCAATAAAGGCCAATAGCGAGGGATGGTCATCAAAGCTGGGGAGGAGGCAATAATAGTTGTTATCACCTTCAAACCTTCCCTCCATACTGTGTTCCTTAAAAGAATAATTCTAAATAAGATCATTAAAATTCAGTTTGCATAAGTAAAGAGTCTAAGAGGATGGCTAGTCAAAGAAAGAATTAGGCTCCTTTCTAAAAGACCACTAATTGGGAATTCTTCAATGAACATAATTAACAAAAGAAATGTTTCTTTTAGAGTTAGGGAGGAAATCCCCCCCATCCTCAGCAAAGGGTATCTTACCTTAGAAAGAAAAAATAAAGGTTCCTCCCTGTAGCCTAGCCTTGTGTAAACGAACACAGGCAGAGCATAATCGTGGGATGTCATGGTGGAGATCCTCATGGATTCGTGCACCCGAAATTGCGAGAAGCGCAAAATGTTTTCGTTGTCTCCAAGAGATTTTCTGACACCAATAGAAGGATACAAAGCAGCACTGCTATTCCAGAGCCAAGAGAGCTCATTGTTTCTCAACACTTCCTCTTCCGGGCATGACCCAGTATAATTCGGGGCATAAACATTATAATTGTGGCAATCAGGATATAAATAATAACCCCATAGGCCCTTGGGTCTACTCTTCATTCCCAATTCGATGGTTTCCTTCATGAAAGCTTTTGCACTTTCTTCAAATGTTGCTTTGGCTAAATATTCAATATCAGTAGTTGATACATTCTCTTGCATATCAGAAATCAGCTTTCTTGACTTCTGTCTGTAGACGTCTTTTGTGTTCCAGTTACGGGCCCACTGGGGTCGCCAATATTCCCAGTCGATAACAGCAAGTCCACTGAAATCTTCAGCAGGGATGTAATAATTAATATCTTGGTCAGCTTTCTCTAGATGTACTTGCAAACTTATGTTCTGAGGGAGACCCCCATTAATGGGAACCCCCTGTGATGTATACCATGGATAGTATCCCAATCTGTTGACGTAAAATATGGTGACATTTTGTCCCCTGGCCTTGGCCAGTGGGCTTCCAATCACCTGAAACATTTTCAAATTTAGTCTTATATTGTATTTTTTCAAACACTGATCCGTTGGAGCATTCCAAGCAGCTATAAAAGGTTTCCTTTGATAAATTGGAAGTCGGGCAGGTTTTAGAGAAGAGATAGACTTCAGAATAAAGAATATGAGCAGCCATGATGTGAGATGTATTGGTTGAACAACACAAAACCTTAATTGTCCTTCAAATAATACTTTCATGATAAGATAAAACCTTATCTTCCGCCTTAAGGTACTGTGGAAGACCTGTAGGGAGAAGTAATTTTCTATTAGCGATAATTTTGAGGAAAAAGACTCAAATACTGGGTGGATATTATTAGATTTTAAAGAGGACTATACATAAATTGAGATACAGAAGCAAGTGTAGTGACTGAGTTTCCATTCAGGGGCAAGCAATGCAATTCAATAAAAATTCATGGAACTTCAGACCCTATGCCCAGAATACAAAGTGAATAAGATGTGGTTATTCACTTGCGGTTGCTCTTGAAAAAGCTTATGATCAAATAAAAATGTAAAATTATACCCATTATCATTTTTGAAAAGTCATCAAATCCTAGGCACTAAGCTTAAGTACTTTATAAAATATTCATCTCATTTAATCTTCTAATAACTTTGTATTATCTCACTAAGCCAAAAATGTTGAGATGCTTTCCCAGCCTTCCTTGCAGCTAGGGTGCTGATATGCAATCGCAGTCAGGATCCATCCTACTCTGGACTTTGAATTGAGATCTTGGGAATCAAAGAGCCTGAAAGGTGGTGGGGCCAGAAATTCCGGCGTCCATAAATGGCAGGGCCTCTCAGGGGCATTCAGAACCTGATATCCATGGTGTTGGTGTTAAGTGGCAGGATTGTCCTTATGGGACAGCACTTCTCTGCTCAAGTCAGTGAGGTTTTGTTTTGGTTCGTTACAACCAGGAAGTCTGGCTGACGGAGGTTTTTTTCCATGGAATCTGTGGCTTTTGAGTATTTCCGTCCGCAAAGCGGTGTGCTGCATATTGTATGTAATTATCATTTTTAGCCGCTAGATGTCACCAGCTAAACCGTATAGCATTTGTGAGACCTAGGACACTGAGGCAAGCCAAAATTTAAAATAATTTATGAAAAATAGAAAACCTGTACAGACCAGTTACTAAAATAATGTGTAAAACTTTATTCAAAGACGTTTAAGAAGTGCTAAGTAAATGGATATAAACAAAATATCAGTTTGGGGGCACCTAGGTATCTCAGTCAGTTGAGCTACCTGACTTTTGGCTCAGGGCAAGATCTCGCAGTTGGTGGGTTCGAGCCTCTCATCAGGATCCCTGTTGTTAGTGCAAAGCCCACTTCAGATCCTCTGACCCTCTCTTTCTCTGCACCTCCCCCACTCACACTCTCTCAAAAATAAAAAATAAACATTAAAATATGTGTGTGTGTGTGTATATATATATATAAGTTTTTAAGAATTATGGAGGTATTTTCTTCATCTGTGAATTGAATAAATATGTGTTCCTCCACAACACGAAGATGGATAAGATTGCTTATCTTAGTAACTTGAAATATGTCACACTGAAGTATAAATTATTATTTGAAGAGAGCAGTATTTTCAAGAGGATATAATTTTATGCATACAACAAGAATCATGGTCCTTTAAAATGTCCCTTTTCTTTGATTTTTTATTATATTCTGCCTTAGGATAAGAAAAATGGATTTACTTGCATATGTGTTCATTAATAGGGGAGAAAAAGCTTTTATTTAAAGGTAAAATTCAGCTCATGTTAGAGAAGGCTATAAATGTATATCAAAAAAACTATATATATATATATATATATATATATATATATATATATATACACACAACCTATCAGAACACTCACTTTCTGCTTTGGGTTTTATTCAAAACATAGCTTTCCACTGATTATTGTTTCCCCTTTGGTCAGCCCCCTCATCACTGCCTGCAAATCTTCACCCATTCATTACAAAGTTACCAAGTTATTCTTTTCTCCTTATCCTGGAACATTATTATTCCCCTTATTCTGGTTACTGGAAGGTACACACGCCATGGCAGGTGGCAGGCCAAACTCCTAATCAAATGTACGGATTACACAACAAATACGGGCAAGGTAAGTAAGGAAAGTTCAGTGCCTGTGTCTTCTGCTTGCTGTATGTGTCAGCTTTCTGCTTCCCACGCAGGCAGGTCACGGTGCTGGTACACCCTCTGTCACTCTCCTAATTAAACATGGCTTTCTGGGAGGAGATCCCTTCACTTGGCACCTCTGCAAAGTGTTTTTGTCCCCTGCCCCCATTATGCAGTCATTGGCTGCCTGCTTACCCACCATTTCACCAGGGAACCTACGCATGCCTTCCCTCCCAAACATGCCCTTTGCTTCAGAGCTCCTCTGGACCCCCTTTAGTTCATCCTGCCCGTGCCACCCAAATCCCCACTGAGCTCTACCTGTATCTCGACCAGTCATGACAGCGTAACAGTCTGCAATTACCCACCCTTAACCATGAGTCACCAACAGCAACCTTCCTTGTCTTTCTTCCTCCCCCCCTCTTACAATCTACCCAGAAAGGTCTGCTTCTTTAAGCACATCTCTAATTGCTGGAATTTTAGGAAGAGTTGGCAAGATACTTGGGGTGGGGATGAGTGAGGAGTGTCACTTGGACTTCTCCCCTAAATTTTATCACCAGTTTTCTCTTCATAGGAACAGGATTTGTTCTGGGAACATGTATGAAGGACTAGTTCCCTTCCTTCCACAGGGAAACTTCTGCGAAGACATTTTGAAGGCCCCCGAACAAATGATTCCCAGCAAAGTGGCACATCCCTGAAAACTTGAGGATAATGGGAGGTGGTTTTCTCCTCAGACCCGTGCCCTGCTGGAGAGAAGAGCCATAGTGAGGAAGGTTTAGCTGAAACTACTCTGACTCGGCTTCACAGTTCTGCTCTTCTTAGCCCACTAAAGGAGAATGTGAAAAAATAACAGAAAAGTGGGGACCGCCTCATATCAAGCAGGCCTCAACCCTTACCTCATTATGGTTCCCCCATCCTGACAGTGAAGGATGGTGGAGAAGGGGGGGAGGGCTTGAGAGAGACAGGCATGCCATGTGCAGATACAAGAGTCTGCAGAGAAGTTTCTATCCTCCGTTTACTATTTCCCCTCTCACTCCTTCCCCACAAAAGTTTAGTTGCTTGTGACACGTTAAAAAAAAAAAAAAGCAACATCCAGATTTCAGAAAGTGGAGGCACTTAGAACTATGCCGTGTTATTCTCCTATTAGACAAACAATTTCACAGAATACCGACCTCACACAAGTTTAATCTCAGACTGTAATAAAATGAGACAGAGCAAGGCCACTTTTTCATTTTGGCCAAGCACACATAAAAACAAGGTCACTGTGCAACCCATAAAATATCAAACATCCTTCTCTCCTGTTGCCGGAATGACTGCTATTCTTTACCCAAGTATGGATATGTGCTTGCTTTCTGACAACATCCAATATGGAGAAAATCTGCGTTTTCTTAGACCTTCTGCCAGGTCACTCAGCTAAATCCTGAGTTCTGTCATAGGCTCTTGCTGACAACCCTCTTACTGAGCAACCTCACAGTTTCTCATGCTGGGCATTTTCCCTTGCTGGAACCCGTAATAAACCCAACCCAGTTAACTGTAGGTGCGTTCCCAGTAGTCTTTGGGGCATTGACACCTGTGTAAAGACACTACTGAGCATTCGGGAAATTTTTATTGAGCACCTTCTATAAGCCAGGTTCCCACCCTAAGTCCTAGGAATATTGATCAAAGCAAACAAAAACCCCTGCCCTACAAGGCTTGAATCTTTGCAGGGGAGACAGACAATAAACAAGATGAGTAAATAAAGTAGATAGTAGCTTGGAAGGTGGTAACGGCAGAGAAAAAAATAAAGCAGGATTCATTTTAGATGGGAAGGCTTCACTGATCTGAAAGAGAAAAGGAGTAAGCCTGGAAGTTTGGGAAAGCATGGGAGGAACACAAATGCAAAGGCCCTGAAGCAGGAGGATCTCCGCCCTGTTTGAAACACTTCAAACAACCCGGTGACTGGATAAAAGAGAGAGGTAAGAGACAGGGTCTTGTAGGGTCTTGTTGGGACTCTGGCTTTCACTCTACGTGTGATGGGAAAGAATTAGAAAGTTTTGAGAGAAGAATGGCCTGGTCTGAACTGGGCTTAACTGGATTCCTCTGGCTGCTGTGTTGAGGCCAGCCTGAAAGGGAAAGGGCACAAGAGAGAAGCAGCAGAAGCCGATAAGGAGACTCTTGGAATAATCCGGAACACAGATGAATGTCGTGGAATCCAGATATTCAAAGTTCACAATGTTTTTAACGATCGCCACAATGAAAACTAATAATATTATAAATCTATAAATTAATCCTGCTAGTTTGCGTTTAATTGTGATTGCAACTCCAAATTCTAAATAGAGGGGAATACTCTGGGAGTGCTTTGAAAAACATACACACCCATCCAGTAATGTATTTGTGAAAGGAATTAATTTTCCAAATCTACAACTCTTCTTTTTTTCATGATATTGAGTTTTTTTTTTTTTTATCAAAACCTTTAATGTGCCAAGTGTCTGCCTGTAAATCCATAAGGTTTAAAAAGTATCCTCAAAGTCCTAATCCCTAAATGGGGATCCCAATGAACCCCGTTTTTTTGGAAATTTAAAAATGCAATGTTTTATTTCCAAACCTTTGAGGAAAGCGTTGGCCAAAGTGATATTTTGCTAATAATAGAACTATAAGCATAAATATTTATCAGAATGGAAGCTACAGCACGGCCACTGAGTTCAAAGCTGTACCCTCAGCTCTGCAGAACTAATTGTTAATCTGCTTTTAATAAAAGCTTATTAAAGCAAACGCCAATAATAGGCTTCTGTTTTTCCCTCTGAAGGATGTTCCTGCCTTAGTCTGATTGTCAACTGGTGTCTTATCCTGATGGTTCTTAAATTCTTCTCATGAAATATCAACATTGTGAAAATTGGCTGTTCCAGCAGGAGAAAAAATACCCTTTGATGGGTAGAAGTTTCTCAATTAAGTTTTTCCCCTACATTTTTCTTAAAAACTCAGTGCCATTGATTTAAATAGAATCCACTTGGGGCGCCTGGGTGGCTTAGTCGGTTAAGGGGCCGACTTAGGCTCAGGTCATGATCTCGCGGTCTGTGAGCTCGAGCCCCGCTTCGGGCCCTGTGCTGACAGC